ATGGTAGAATTGGAAGACTGCGGCCTTGGCACCCAAACTGATGGGCACTTTCCTAATGGGTGGTTGTTTGTGGCCCTCAGGGAGAGCTCCTCTGAACAACAACTCAATCCAAGTCATTAAGCAGAGGAACTTGAGGGCACATATGAGGTACACCTAAGGGGTCCACCCCGCAAACTAATGGAAATCACTTGGCCACAGTGGGCTGGAAGAACTTCGGAGGGAGACCAGAGCCTTCTCCTCTCTCCATGGAATCTGGAGAGCTAGCAAATGTTGGCTATGGGAGTTAACATGGCGAACATTTACATACGATCTACTATTGTTTACTAGCCATGCAACTCAGCGCCTGGTTTCTCACACTGTCTCATTTAACTCTCAATGCAAAGGTAGATTTTACAATCTCGGTTTTGCAAAAGTGGAAACAGACACAATAAGGTTAAATGATATGTGTCGTATCTCAAGCTGACAAGTAGTGACTGGGAATTAAACACACTCTATCACCTCTCGAGGCTGCTGCCACCCGCACAGAGATTAATGAATTGCCCTCCGTGTGACACCCACTCACCCCACCTCAGACAGTGTGTCCCTGTTTGCTCCTCTATGTTTGGCTTCATACCTTGGATCCCGTCTCCTCTTCATATTCTAAGACAATATTTGGTGATGTGTTTCTTCTGCCCTGGACTTTGGACTCAGCAGGACTGGACACAGCTCCTCGAGTGGGCTTGGTAGGATCTTCCAACAAAAGTCCTGGGAAGAGGTACTTCTTGACCTGGATCACCGGGACTTACTTCACTCAGTCCCCCCAACCCCTGATGCTGCACACCACTTTGAATGCCCCCTTCTAAATGGCATCTAATTAGGCAACTAATGTTTACAAAGAATTTAATATGTTGAATATCCCCGAAAAACTTTTCTACGGTGGGGCAGAAGATAGGGCCACTTGTTTAGGAGCCACAGACACCCCACAACTGCCATTTCCAGGCTAGTGTCTGCTGGGTGCATGTCAGGGAGAGAACACTGTCAGGGTTCAACTCTGACCCACAACTTCAATCCTGTAGTCATGGAAAAACTGACATATGTCTCTAGGTCTTAGTTGACTCTCTCTGAGAAATGGGAATATTGATGCGCTTGCACTGCCAGGCTTCCACAGTTCTTACCACATCTTTTGCCACCCAAGTATATACTTGGGTATATACCTCACCCATAGAATGCCTCACCCATTCACTCAATGCCTATCTAAGAGGTTGAGTACCAGAGGGTATGATGAAGTTGTTCATGGAGCAAAGCATTTATCGGGGGTGACTTTGCTTTGTGTGGTTTAAAATATCATATCCTGCCTCCTTTAAGTCCAAGAAGACTGCAAGAGGTAAGTGTGGATCTCGAAGAACATTGGTCTGGGGTGCGGAAAACATGAGGTTGAAGATTCAGCCCGCAAAGTGAGGTATAGTGGATGCACATTCTAGTCGAGAGGTTTAGAAAGACTATGGAAAGTGCACAGGATTTGCTGGGAATGCTCCATTCTGGCCCCACATGTGGTTCCCACAAGGGTGCTCTACCTCCTTCTCCCAGTCCATCCCTGGACTGCCAGCCACTCAGCAATTTTACTGATGGCACCTCCTAAAGTCAGAAGTCTCTGCTGCCAGAACTGGGGGTCAGGCCAATCGCTCAGCCTCCTTCTTTCCAGAGAAGCCAGAAGACTTGGTAATTTGCCCATCATAGAGATGGCTGAAATGCAAACTGTTAGTTTAGGCTCCTTAATCCATGAGAATGGACCCTCCCAGCTGTTACCTAAGCATGGTCTCAGGAGCATTTTGTGAATTTGCTCATGCTTCAGGGACCCTCGTGGGAGGAAGCACTTTGAATCCTGGAATGTTTGTGAATGCCACCTTGGTTTTCCTAGAGTGATGAGCACTGAGAGCCTTATGGGTCACTGAGAGGGCTGGATTCTTCTGGCCAGCCAGGTCAGCTAGCTTTGAGGGAAAAGAAAGGGAACAGGGAGGGGTGGGGCAGACAACTACCGAAAGGCCAGGGGGAGGACTGGGTTTTTAAAGCCTACGAGGAAAGGGAAGAGAATTTGGCCAGGGAGAGAAGAGGCTCTCAGGCCAGATCAAAGGCTGCCCTCCTTGGACTTTCCAGACAGGAGCATAGTTAAGAAAAAAACACAGCCAGGGGCGCCTGAATGGCTCAGTCTGTTAAGCATCGGACTCTTGATTTTAGCTCAGGTCATGATCTCACAGTTTGTGGGTTCGAACCCCACAGTGGGCTCTGCGCTGAGAGTATGGAGCCTGCTTGGGATTCTCTCTCTCTCTCTTTCTATGCCCCTGCCACATCCTCTCTCTCAAAATAAACTTTAAAAAAAACAATAACAAAAAACACAGCCAGAAAAGAACAAAAACAACAAAACAAAAACACAGCCAAACTTCTCCACCTTCACCTCTTCTAGCACACCCCACCCCATCCCCAAATGGCAAGTTCTTTCTAGACAAAAACTCTGCACTTGCCCTTAAATCAAGTTTAGTTGATCAACATGTTAAAAATGCAACACAAAACTCAGGACCACCTGCTTTTGAACCTCTGCCCCTCTCCAACAAATTTTAAATATAAGTTCAAGAAATAATTAATCAACCAAAGCCTTCTACCACAGTATCCCCTTCTGTTAGAGGCAATGTCTGGTAAATCAAGAAAAACGTGCCATTTACTCACTAAACTAAACACAATCCCTTATTATACAATTAACCAAAACACAATTGTATGTAATACAATTATACAGACTACAATTACACAAAAGTAATGATGCAGTATAGATGGCAATGACTTTCATGTAATCGAAAATAATGAGAGCGTCCTTGATTAGAAATTAAGGTATCATAAGAGATCCCTATTGATGAATGTTCCCTCTGTTGAACTACACTTTGCGAAAGGCTGTGCTGGCTGATGAAGTCGCATGCTTCCCCCTCATCGTTAATAAAGACTATCGGGGTGGCAACCATTCCGTGTAGAACCCTTTATTCTGAGATCGCTAAACTAGCACATTCTAATGAAGCACACATTTTATTACCCACTTATCCAGCTGGTCAAATAGAAAAAAAATGAAGCAGAAGAGCCAGGAAGTCTGTGTGATTTGTTGAGGATCCCATGTGTAGTGGTATTAACAGAGAAACATGCACATAAAACTCCATCAAATTATATTGGTCATTCGGAGCATCCGAGGAGACTACAACCTACAGAGCTGATTGCTGTGCCGCTGAGGAGAAACACCTGTTACTTCTCATCAGTGCCCCATGGATGGGGGTGGTTCTCTTCCTAGCTCCAGGCTGGTTCTCCATCCATCCATCCTTCTCCCTTTTTCCTGGGTACTCTTTCTTGTAAGCAAATCTGATACCTTCCTTCCTGATTGTCACTTAGCACACGGGGCCACGTTCCATGGGCACACAAATTTCTTCATAATTCCTAACGGCCCCAATCTCTAGCCATGTGCACACCACGTACTCCATCACAGTGACCTTCCATATCCACTGAGCTATGTTTTATTGACCCTAAAGCACTATTCATTGTTAACATATACCCTTAGTTTATATGCCACTAAGAAAGACATGTTGCCAATTGAATGATGATGCGCCATGGATTATAAAATGCATCCCAATATTTAACAATGGAAAACAGGCACTTGGAACTGTTGAAATGCTTGCAAGCCATGATCTCTCCTATTTCTCTGCCACTCCCCATGCTACATCCAGAGGACCCATCGTACACCGGCACCCCTCATCACACCTCAGCCAAGTCTGCTCGTCCTTTAAAATTTAGCTCAGCACCAGGGCACGTGGGTGGCTCAGTCTATTGAGCGTCAGACTTGGGCTCAGGTCATGATCTCATGGTTCGTGAGTTTGAGACTCACATCAGGCTCACTGCTATCAGCACAGAGCCTGATTCGGAGCCTCTGTCCTCTGCCCCCGCCTCCTCTGTCCCTCCCCTGCTGGTGCTCTTTCTCTTAAAAATAAACATAAAAAAAAAAAAAGACTTAGCTAAGCACCCCTTCCTGAAAACCTTCTTGACCTCATTCTTCCCACGGCCAGGCTGAGCTGCGGCTGCCAGACGTCCCACAAATAAGTGTGCACTACTTGGGCATTTATTGCATTTTATCATAATGGCTCATTTATTCCATGATGGGACGTGAGCAGAGACCCTGTAACACCAACACATGGGCAAGCACTTCACACCTATTATTCACCCATTTGTTGAACGATATATCGACGAAGATGACTGTAACCACAAGAATGAAGGAGGTAAGTGCTAGAGATAAAACGTGGAGAGCACGCTAAGCCTGGCTGAAAACTCAGAACTGGTCCTCTTTAATTTTCCAAAGTGTGTCTTTGAAGCTAGAAATTTTAAATGTAAGAGGAGTTGGAGCCCGGAAGAAATAAAGAAAGAAACTGAACTTGTGCCACATCTGTGGGTTGCACAGTATTAAATGCTGATTCTCTCCATGGGGGACCTGCTCTTTTCTGCGCCAAAGAAGCCATGGTTTGGAGGTGACGCCACAGGTCAGTGGCCCCAGGAGTCACCTCACCACTGGACCACACAAACCTCTGTTCTAGACCCTGAGGGCCTGATGTTCATCTGCCCCTGTTAGAAAGGATGCTCCCTGCTCTAAAGAATAAAATGGCTTAAGACCAAAGTAATCCCTCCCTCCTTTTTGCTTCACTCTTAACTTCAAAGTAATCAAATGTTGTTTATGCATACAATTTTAATCCTGTCACAAATTTGTATTTTGATTTAATTTGCATATCCCATTTACTGCAAGTCAACATGAAGAGAGACTCAACTAATTTAAACGATTTTTCTCTGGGCCTGAAATCCTTTCAGAAATATTTTCCATTAGGCAACTCAATTATGTCTAATGTGGCTAATGTCAGTGGATTAGAATTTTGCTTAAAGAAACTCATATTTAGAACAGTGAGAATGGGAAGGGGGTGGGAGAACAGAGGAGAAGAGACAATAATTACCTGTCTTTGATGCTACACAGATCAATGTGTAAATCACTAAAATTCCCCAGGGAACCTTGCTGAACTGAAATGAGGTCCTTGGACTGGTTATCAATAAAGATGAGCCTCATGCAGCCTTGGAAAGCCTTAATGGGATTTAAACATTGGGAATCGGTGAGATTGTCGGGGCACCCTGTGGGACAGAGAAAAAAAAATGAGGAAGAATACTGAAATGATCAGTCATTGCTTTGGCGACCTATTGATGGAGGACCTGGAGGTCTAATTGTTTTGGGGGCTTTTTCATTCACAGCAGTGCACACATGTTCGTTGGAAATCCTAGCATTCTCAAAGAAGGGACAGAATTGGTAGAAAACGGGGCATACTCAATCGTTGTACGGAACAGAAAACAACATGCGTTAAAGGGAACACTGATACTGTAACATTCACCTGGTCCCTCTTTCTTTTCGCCTGTCGGTAAACTATCCAACCATCCAGTCGCATGGTGTATTTCACTCATCCCAAGAGGCAACATATTATAACTACTTGGGAGTTTGGGTTCTGTCTCGAAACACGCTCTAAATGCACAATTCAATTCTCAATTACACTTTCAAAGGAAATTATGGTTTGGGTAAGGATGGTGGCAGAGTAATTGTCTGGCTAATTGTTGGCATTAACAGGCTTAGTTCCTGAGAAAGGTACACACGCAGGAACAGAACTGGAATTCTGAAGCGAGGCGCAAAGCAAACGCAGACACCAAAGGAACTACGAGCTTAAACGCACCTAGTTATAGGGCTGTAATAGCACACTGAAAGGTTAACACCGTACCTCTTTAAAGGGTGTTCCTTAAAAAAACACTGCATTACGCTGATTTAGCATAGCTTGCGATCAGGGCACTTCTCATTAAGACAGGTACACGGCAATGTAGGTATATGAGCGCTTGTGCTCCATCCCGATGGGTTTTAATAGGTTCAGAGCATATGGGAATGCAAGCTTGAAAACATGGCAATAACCCATAAATAATTGGGAATTATTTCAGCCATTTCTAATAGACAGTCACTGCTGGGCTGATGCCCAGCAGCTGCTTAACAGCTCACAGGCACACCATAAAACGAAGAGAGATTCCTACAAGTTCTAATTGAAACTGTAGAGAGAATTTATGTAAGTTGACTATTATTGCTCAGGCTCATTTTTCACCTCCCTTAAGTTTATGGTCTACGTGTGGGGCGCTTGCTTAAATGCCGTTCAAATCGCAGATAAGTCTCGGCCTTGTAAACCCAGAGCCCCCTTAACTGGGGGGAAGCCAGACATTTCGTCTTTGAGGCATTCTGCATGCCGTAATCATCGAACATCACTTTCCTCAGAAACAAATACAAGAATGCTTTTCTCTCTTTGTTGATGAGACACTGCATGTGATGCAAGAATTATGCAGTCTGTGAAATGTATCTTAGGGTCCCCAAGACCCTTCTTCTGCTGCCTTTATGCTACGTTTGCTAGCATCCCTTTGCTGTCCCAATGCAGCAGGTTGCGGAGAACACAGACCTGGGGGTGGGTCCTGATTCTAACGTTTACACAAGTTATTGCATTTCAGCAAACAACAGTCTTACTGTCTGTGAAATGGGGCTACAATCGCCTACTTCACAAAGTTCCTGCACTAATTAAATGGCGTAAGACACATACGACATTTAGAGGCAAGGGAAGAGCTCCTTTCTTGTTGGAATCTGTTGTCCTTGCAGACGTGGGGATTTAGAGTGAAGGACAGAGGGTTTTAGTCGGGCCTTAAAAAATCAAACCACAACAGTATTGCTCTATGCTGCTTCCCTTCCAGGATACCTTGTTATGTACAATGTACTTATGCAAAGCCCCTTCTGGATTTCAAAACTTAACCGTGTGTCAGTGCCATGAGAGAAGTGATTTGCAAAGTCTGTTTGAGAGACCGCACTTTGTAATTTTACACAAACACTTCCCTTCAGTTTCCTAATGGAGGAAGAATTAGCAACAGGAGAAGAGGCCCAGCCCATACACGTGTTTACAAAAGGCGCAGCCCGTGTGTCTATTTGCAAGCATGTAACCCTGACCCTGTTGAAGTTCTCCAGCAGTCTGGCTTTGTTTCTCCATGTCCTAGATAAGGAAGTTCAGGGACCATCAGGGTCTTCCTCAAGGTCAGACGGCTCTTTGACATTACTCTCTAGAGACTGTTTCTATGATACAAACACATGACTAAAAAATTAGATACTAAGATTTTTAATGAAAGAAATAACTTGGGGAAAAAAAACTAAATAAAGCTGCACATGCATCTATAAAAAGGTAGTGAATTCCTCATCATGTAATTTTCATCCTTTCCAGGATGCCCCGTGTCTTTGTCATTGGGAATGTTCCTAGGATTCACCTGGAAATGGGGACAGCTGGACCTGTGTCACCTGCTCCACTGGAGCTACAAGTTCACAGGACTTCTAGACCTTCCCCATTTTTAGAGCCCTACTCCATGGGCATGGCCTCCAGGGATGTCGGGAAGGAACAAACAGACGGGGGATTCAGACCGCAAAGCGGCAGAGTAGCCTATATGGCTGAGGATCCTGGCTGTGCCTTCCCTGCCTTCCCATCTGGATTTTTCCTTTCGCAGGTACTGCTGACTGTTGGTACACATCCTCCAAGTTTTCAGCTGACTTCCTCCTTCCCAACGTGATCACGGAGCTTGGCATGGCTACAAAAATCTCCTTTGGACAAGTTACATAACACCAGCTCTTATAGCTAAAGTTTTTCTTTTTTTCTTTTTTTTCCCCTCTGCACTGACCTAGATAGTTTATATCTGCACAGCTGTCAGAAAGTTTGCTTCTCATTATTTTGCGCTTGGGATTGGGTACCTGTGTGTGTGTGTGCGCGCGTGCGCGCGCGTGTGTGTGTGAATGGTCTAATTGCCAAAAAAAAAAAAAAAAAAAAAAAAGAATGATTAGAGCAAAATAATTGTCCATTGCATTCTCCCTCCGTCCTTTATTTTTCAAAAGCTGGGGAACTTACCTCCAAAGTAGTAGCTATTTCCAGAATAAATCTGTACGCGAGTGGTGTCCTGGGCCGGGGATGCTGCATCATTATCCAGAGTAAGAGTGATGCGGTCCCTTCTGGCGGTGATGCTGACTGAATGCCACAAGCCATCATTCAAGCTGCTGCCTGCAAAAGCAACAGGGAAGGCAGTAGGGATGATTGGGGAGATCTGGAGCCAGCGGGGCTCATCCTCCTCACCTGCCGGGCTCCGTGCTCCACGCGTGCTCTCAGCAGCCTCCCCGTGTCTCCTTTTGCTTAAACCAAACCCCCAGCAGACCCATAAGCCTCACCTTCCCTCCTCTCTTTACCGTTTCACTTTTCTTTTTTTTTTCAAAGTGGCTGAACAATGTCTGATACATTTGAGTTCAAAGCAAAAGGGCAAAACACAAACTGGTCTGTATATTACACCTACAGGTGTTGCCAAATGAACTGACCTCTTGCTATAAATGCAAAGTAAAAGGTTGAAAGGAAAAAACTTAAAAATGCCCACGCCTGGGTGGCTCCGTTGGTTCAGCATCTGACTCTTGATTTCCGCCCAGGTCGGGATCTCACGGTTTGTGAGTTCGAGCCCTGTGTCAGGATCTGTGCTGGTAACACAGAGCCTGCTTGGGATCTTCTCTCTCCCTCTCTCTTTCTGCCCTTCCCCTGCTCATTCTCTCTCTCTCTCTCTCTCTCTCTCTCTCTCTCTCTCTCTCTCTCAAAATATATAAACTTACAAAAAAATGCCCATGGTGATTTTATCTCTGTGTGGTAGGATTATAGGTGATTTGTTTTTCTCACATTTTCCTGCAAATGCCTTATGTTTCTTTTTTAGTAAGGGGCATGTGGGTGGCACAGTAGGTTCAGTGTCTGACTTTTGGTTTCAGCTCAGGTCATGATATCAGCCCTGTGTTCGAGCCCTGTGTCGGGCTCTGCGCTGGCAGCACAGAGCCTGCTTGGAATCCTCTCTCTATCTCTCCACCCCCCCTCTGCTTGCACACCCTCTCTCCCTCAAAATAAATAAATAAAGTTAAAATTTTTTTAATTAAAAATAAACTATTTTTAAAGGCAAAAGTAGATGAGGAAAGCCAGATTCTAGTGATGTGCCAGGCGAAGGCCGTCTACCTTTGGAGACACGTAATACACTAGCTCAATCTCAACATTTTTCCTTAACTAATTAGGTGACACTGGCTATTCCTACCTTCCCTGAAGTCTGGCTTTATTGTCTGCAAAGATCATAATTCCTGCTCTGTGTCCTTGTTAAGAGGATCCATTGAGATCAGACAGGAAATGTCCTAGGACAGTTGGAGGCATCCTGAGTGTTTATTAAAAGGTAATTCTCTCAAGGGTGCCTGGATGGCTCAGTAGGTTGAGGGTCCAGCTCTCAATTTCAGCTCAGTTCATGATCGCAGGATCACGGGATCGAACCCTGTGTTAGCCTCCCTGCTGAGTGTGGAGCCTGCTTAAGATTCTCTCTCTCTTCCTCTGCCCCTCCCCAACTTGTGCCCTCATTTTTTCTCTCTCTCTCTCTAAATAATAATGATAATTTTTTTTAAAAGGTAATTCCTATCTTGTTCTTTTGCCTCAGATGTCTTTGGTGCATAACTACCCTGCCAGCCTACCTTACTAAGAAAACTGTACTGGGAATTAGTCATGAAGATGGGAATCGTTTCTTTCTAAAAAAATCTATCAGCTATTAAGACTCTGTTGGTGCCAAGTACTTGCTCGAGGAAACACAGTCTTATTCATCAGTCTGGTCACAAAGATGTGTCTGTGACAAAAGCACACAGTCACACGTCTCCACTCAGTAGACATTTCTCGTGTCTTGCTCTGTGCGGAGTTGTTTTCCTCCTCTTATTGCCTCAGTTTTCTCCCCTGCAACGTGGGGGAAATGACTTCTAGGCTGTTGTGATAATTATACAGTAGTCAATATGGTAGTGCATGTAGAACGGTCCATGTCGCATCATAAGCAGACAATGATGTTAGCTAAAACAAATGGACAGAAGAGCAACTATAAAATGGTCCCTGGCTTGTGAAGTATGGAGAGTACCATCACCATGTGATGGAGAGACATATCACATGATGTCTATAGGCTACCATTAAATGGAAGAGGCACGCAGTGAGGGTTACAATACTGTCCTCTGCGGGGCGCCTGGGTGGCTCAGTGGGTTAAGCGTCCAACTTGAGCTCAGGTAATAATCTCATGGTTTGTGAGTTCAAGCCCCACATCAGGCTCTCTATGGTCAGTGAGGAGCCTGCTTCAGGTCTTCTGTCTCCCTCTCTCCTGCTCTTCCCCAGCTTGCCCACATTGTCTTTCTCAAAAATAAATTTAAAAAAAAAAAAAAAAAAAGAATTCTGTCCTTCGAGTTCAGGGTAGTGGGACAGACAAAAAAGGCAAGAAAAGAACACTGAATTCAGTTTTGGGTGGAGTGGTACTATGGAAGCAGAGAAGAAAGAAAACCTAACTAATGGCATAGGAGGATCCCCGAAAGACTTCACAGCAGAGATGGTGACAGTTTAGGGAAGTTCTGAAAAGTGCAAAGAGTTCTCTACTCAGAGAGCAAGAGTCCAGGAGTCAAAGAGCCTGTACAAAAAAGCAATGAGAAGCGGGGGAGAACAAGAAGAAAGCCAGTGAGAAAGGATCCATTCACCCAGGGACCTGGCATGGAAAACTAAGGAATGGGTTTCCACAATTTCCTTGGATAAATGATTGTGTAAAGTGCTTTATTCAAGCCAATTCCATCAAAACCTTTGGGGATAGGACCCGAGGCATCTGCATTTAAAAAAATAAATGTTTATTTATTTATTTTGAGACACGGAGAGTGGGGGGAGAGGGGCAGAGAGAGGAGAGAGAGAGAGAGAGGGAAGGAGGGAGACAGAAAGAGTGAGAGAGAGAGAGAATCCCAAGCAGGCTCTGCGCTGTCAGCACACAGCCCACAGTGGGGCTTGATCTCATGAACCATGAGATCATGATCAGAGCTGAAATCAAGAGTTGGATGCTCAACAGACTGAGCCACCCAGGCGCCCTGCGTCTGCATTTTTTTAAAAGCTCCCTGGGTGACTCTAACGTGCTGTCAGGAATGGAAACCACTGCTTTAGAACAATGGGAGGCCATGAAGGGTCTTCAGCATGGGAATGACCTAGCTGGAGGTCCACTGTGCAAAGACTGGGTGGCAGAGGACCGCTGGGAGTCAAAGCAGGAAGCACAATGGGTGGGGCCTACTGCTTGCACTGGCCCCAGAAGACCAGATGATAAGGGTCTCAGCCAAAGTAGCAGCAGTGACAATGGAGAGCAAGGGACAGAGTAAGAGCTGTTTCTGGAGGTAAAAGAAATCAGCCTTGGTAGAGCCTACTGGAGCAGGTCCTAAGAAACCAGCTGGAAAGCAAGCACTGAAAATCAGAGCAGAGGTCTGCAGGGCTTCTCAGAATAGTTACTGAAGCGCGTGTGCCCCTGAGCCCTCATAGGGCTGGAGAAGGTGCCCAGGGAGCAGCACAGCACCAGGCTGGGAGCCCAGCTGCACTGCACCAGGCAGCTGGGTCCCATCTGCTCACAACAGGCCAGATGCAAGGGACCCCCCCTGCATTTCCAGCCAGCTTCTTGGCAGCCTTGGCTGCGGCCCTGAACATCTGCTTGGGGTGAACCCAGGGGCTGCTCAACCTGGTGGCCGTACTTCCTCCCAAAAGCCATTGTTTGGGTCCTAACCACGGGGACTCTGCTAATGAGGTAGAGGCTGTGTCACGCGTTTCCCGGCGATGAACATTTGACTTCCGGCAGGGGCATTTGGGGGGCACGGCCAGCTGTGGGTCTTTACTTCTTTTTTATTCTCATTTGCATACTGATTTAAATACATTTGCATAACACAGGAGACTGCATCTGCAGACAAACTATAGACTGTTTGAGCTGGAAGAGGCATCAGTAACTAACCCAACTTAGAGGATGTAAATACCGGGCCCCCCCCCCCCCCCCCCCCGGGACCAGTGCCCTGCTCAGCATCAGGGCTCCAGTAAGAAGAGAACGGAGGCGTGCAGAGTGTCCTGCCTAATCAGAGATGCATCCTCTAGTCATTTCACAGATGACACTGGCCTGAGACAAGAGGTCTGACCTGTGGGAGTGGCAAGGCCAGAACACTGGCCTTTGTGTTCTGCTGCCTGGTCCCCTCCCCTTCCCACATCACTGTCCATATCGCTTTCTTCAACACTGTCACTTAATGAGGATTTGCGTGGTTGCTTGTCTTTTTTTTTTTTCCTTTCTTTCTTTCTTCTTCTCTTTTTTTCCCTCCCTTTTTGGTCTGCTTTTCCTTTTGGTTTGATCTTTTTGATCTTTTCCTCCATGGTCCCAAATCCCTGTGTGAAATCTTCACTCTTCAGAGGAAAATTATGAGGACAGTGGTTCCTGAGGCTGACCACACAAAAGGCAGCACCTAGGGAGCTTCTGAAAAGACAGGTCCCTGGGCCCCACACCGGGTTAATTAAGGCAGGCTTCAGGGTGGCCCCAGGCCTTGGAAGGTTGTGCAGCCTGGGTTAGGAAACTACACCATCTGAGGTTTCAGAAGAGGAAGATGAAAAGAAGCCTGGAAAAACAAGGCTGGTTTTAGAGGAGCTGAGTTGGGAACAGATTCCAAGGCAAACGAAGTGACATATTCCCTTCTAAAAATCTGCTTTCTGCTGGGCCCTCCTTCCCACTTCATTCTGTTAATGGCTATATATGTAATATATATTTTTATAACCAAATAACACCCCTAGAAGTTCTCCAAGGTTTCGTTTCTAAGAATTCTTTTTTTAAAGGTACAGGTTTAAGTGCTATTAATTGTTCACAAATTGGGGAAAACCGATGCTGTCAGAGTGCTTTCCTCCCAAAACCTCCCTGAGGTGAAAGGTCTGAAAGAAGAAAAGTTTTCAATGGGGAGAATGAGAAAGTACCACCTTTGAGGCCAGGAACACCTCGATGGGGAAATGCTCCTGGAGGTAGAACAGGGTAATCAGGGCCACTTTAGGGTGGCCCCCGAAGGATTCATAGGATTTAGGAGCCCGGGCTTAAAATGCGGGATTGGGGTTCTGGAAAGATTGGTGGATGATGACACACATACATTTTCTGACCTGCAAAGTGATGTCAAATATTTGCCATCTGCCAGACAGGCAATGGATAC